CCGGAGCCAGGTAGACTGCTCCTGCCTCGGGAGGCTCCACATCGGGGGCGAGGGAGAGAGCGAGAGAGGGCCGGTCTCGGGCGGCAGCTGAGTTCCCGGCCCGTCGGGCAGCTCCCCCGCTGCAAAACTACAACTCCCAGAGTCCTTTTCCTTCCTTCCCTCCCTCCCCTTGTCCCCCCCTCCCCTCCCCTCCCGCCACCTCCGCTCACCTGACGAGCAGCGCCGCGGAGCCCCGGCCGCCTCTCCTGCCCGCAAACGCCCCCAGTCCCCGGGACCGAGCTGGGGAGGGTCCCGCTGCAGCCCCGCCTGCCGCCCCCGCCTCTTCTTCCTCCGCCTCCTCCTCCTCCTCCTCCTCCGCCTCGCCTGGGCCAGCTCCTTAGTCCGGGCCAGGCATAAACAAGCCGGAGCTCCGCGCTCACCTGCGGCCGTCAGCACCCAGCAGCGCCGCCCCGAGCCAGGTGAGTGCAGGTGGGCGGCCGGGCGGGTCTGAAGTTCCCCGGGACGGGACGGAGGGGACGGGACGGGCTGAGGGGGAGCAGCGAGGGGAGTCGGGGGTCCCGGCTTTGGGACTGAAAGTTGCTCCGCTTCCCAAAGTCAGTTTTTCTCCGGGAGGGTCTGGAAAGAAAAAAAGTGGGGGGGGGGGGGCTCCCTGCACACACACACACACACACACACACACACAACACAGATGCACAAACATACAAAGAGAGAGAGAGAGAGACAAGCGGTGTGAGAGATACACACCATCACACAAACGCAGTGACAGCCAAACACACAGAGAAAGACAAAAAGGCGCAGACAGATACAGACCCACAAACACACAACACAGATACACAAACATAGAGACACACAAAGAGAGAGAGAGAGAGACACACACACACACAGAGAGAGACAAGCATGTGTGTGTGAGAGAGATACACACCATCACACAAAGGCAGTGGCAGCCGGACACACAGAGAGACACAAACACACACAGAGAGAGAGAAAGACAGAAAGGTGCAGACAGACACAGACTGACAAACTCGCACAGACACAAAGGGAGAGATTTGATAGATGCATCCAGAGACACACAAAGACACAGGCATGCAGAGAGAGAGAGAGACAGTTACACAAACAAAGTGACAGCCCCACACACACACACAGAGAAAGTCAGAGATGCACAGAGACGCGCAGATCCACAAGGACTCACAAACACACATCCAAAGACACACTCAGAAAGAGACAGATACACAGACACACAAATACACAGAAACACACATACACGCAAGTGTGTGTGTGTGAGAGAGAGATACACAGTTACACAAACACAGACACACACAGAGAGAGAAAGACACACACACACAGACACGCAGCCGTCACACAAACGCAATGACACACACAGAAACACACACACACACAGAAAGACAGGCACAGACAGATACAGACTCACAAACTCGCACAGACACAGAGGGAGAGATAGATAGACCCAGAGACACACAAAGACACAAAGACACACTCACAGACACACAGTGAGAGAGAGAGAGAGATACATAGTTACACAGAGTGACAGACACACACAGACTCACAAACACACACAAAGAGACAGAAACACAGGGTCACACAAACACACAAGGGGAGAGAAAGTCTGAGCCACATCGACCCACACAGACTCACCAACACACACACAAAGGCACTTAGAAAGAGAGAGAGACACACACAAGAGACAATCAAATAGATGGAAACACAGAGACACACAGCGCATGTGTGTGTGTGAGAGAGAGATACACAGTTACACAAACACAGCCAGACATGCATTCACACAAGGAGAAAGACAGAGGAACGCAGACATACACCAACACACAAACGCACAAACACACACAGCCACAAATATCCAGAGAGACACCTAGGAACACACAAACACACAGAGAGAGAGAGACATAAACACAGAGAGACCCGAACATAAACACACATACACTCCACCTTTGCTGCGGAGCAAGAAGTGGGGCGCGATCCTATGGGATTCAGATAACCAGAGTTGCTAGGGACCTTGTAGGTCATCTAGTCCAACCCCCCCTCCCCGCCTAAGCAGGAGATCCTACACCATTTCTGACAAATGGCCTGCTTGCTGTCCCGTCCCGTCCCCCCCGGAACCGGGACACTCTCCTTGGAAGGCAGCCCCCCCCCCTGGGCTCCCCGGGAGAGAAGAAACCCGATCCGCCCTGCTTGGCTCAAGCCCCCCCCCTCAAATCTCGCCCTTCCCTGGTGGGCTGGGGCTGAATCCCCCCTTCCCTCTGGTCTTGCACCGGGCTGGGAAGCCTTCCCTCCCTGAAATTAGGGGAGAAAACTGGGGGGGGGATGCAACCATTTGGGGGAGAGGGGGGTCCAGGGGCCTCTTCTCAACCCCACACATTCGATTCGGAGGGAAGCAACTTTGGGAGAGGAGGAAAAATCTCCTTCCATTCCCCCCTTTTTTAAATGCCTATTGGGATGGGGGGTGAAGGGGCTTCCAGGCCCCCCTACTCATCCCAGCTGACTTCTGGTCTGGGGTACATAAACAAAGAGTTGGAAGGGAATGTTTTATGAGTTGACACCCACTGCATAATCCTGTGGTCCTCCTTAAACCAGGGGCGTCAAACTCAAGGCCCGCGGGCCGGATCTGGCCCACGGGGTGCTTAAATCTGGTCCGCGGAGCCGGCCTGGAACTACTGAAAGGACCAGCCTGCAGTGCCTCTGCTAGCCGAACAGGCTGTGAGAAGGGGATGCGTGCGGCCCATTGGTGGTATTTGGCCGGTTCGAGCTGGTTTGAACGATCCGGTAGTAAAAAAAAAAAATGCTTTTTCCGACGATCAGCTGTGCCGCGCAATTTAGATTAGCCAGAAAGCAGGAAATCTAAATTTCGCAGCCCAGCTGATCCCGCCCCCCTCGTACTTACCTGAATCCCAGGAGGCAAAAAAAAAACGGGGCACGGGGTGTGTGTGTGTGTGCTGCGAAAGGAGGGGAGAACCACATAGCCATGTCCAGGTCCCATGACCACCTAGCCACACCTACAGAACCAGTAATAAAAATATTTGAATCCCGCCACTGGTACGGCCTCCGTGCGGCCTGTTTTCGGCCTCCACGGCCTCCTAAGACCCGTTTCCAGCCTTGGAGAGGCCCATTTTTGGCTGTGAGCGCTCCTGGAGGCTGAAAACAGGCCACGTAGGGGCTTCGCAGGGCCTCCACGTGGCTTTTTTTAGGCCAGCAGAGTGCTGCTGGAGGCGGCCGTTCCATTTCCCCCCTTCACCTGCGCCCACCAGCGTTAAATTTGTCTGCCACCCATTTCATCACAAGGTCCTCACGCATGCCCTGGTCCAGAGGTGGCATTCGGCCGGTTCTGACCGGTTCTGAAGAACCGGTAGCAGAAATTTTGAGTAGTTCAGAGAACCGGCCAATCCCACCTCTTGATAGGCCCCGCCCCCATCTATTCTCCACCTCCCATTGAGTCCCAGCTGATTGGCTGGGTCTTTTGGGGTTGCCCTGCACAGGAGAACGGAGCTGGAAAGCAGGTTAGTGGGGTAGAGGGGGGAATAGGATTTTGCTGTATCCTTCCCCTGCCATGCCTACCAAGCCACGCCCACTAAGCCAGGCCCACAGAACTGGTCATAAAACAATTTGAATCCCACCACTGCCCTGGTTCCTTCCAGATTGGACTACTGTATTGCGCTCTACATGGGGCTGCCCTTGAAGAGTATCCAGGAGCGTCAGCGGATGCAGAATGCAGCGACACACTCGGTTATGTGTGTTTTCGGCCGCTGTTCATTCTCTGAGTTTGCCGTTTAGCTCCTGGACGTTTCGTTACCAAATTAAGTAACGTCTTCAGGGAGACTTGGAGTGAAGTGTCTTATTCTGTTTTTCTTCCATTTATATGGGTTTCGAGTGGTGTTGTGGTCAGTTGGTCCCGTGAATGGTTGTGAAATCCAAACTGGTAAGGAGGTGGTTGGTTCTGTGGCTGATTGGTTGTTTGGACAGTCTGGTTACTTATAGGTTCATACGTTATGTGTTGATTGGTGGATCCGTTGGCGAATGCCAGGCTTGGATGAATTCGCGTAGCTGGCGGGTTTTTGGGTTTCATGCCAATTGAATTGGTGTTGTTCGTTGTCAACGTGGCTCGGGGATTTCTGGTTATGCCGTTTGACAGCCAGCTGGCGTTTGTGAATTGTGGTTATTAATTGTCATCCTTCTGTGTCCTCCAGAAGTTGGAAATGCTCCAACACTGGAAGTTTTAAAGAGATTGGACAATCATTTGTCTGAAGTGGTGTACAGTTTCCTGCCTCTGCAGGGGGTTGGACTAGAAGACCTCCAAGGTCCCTTCCAACTCTGTTATCCTAGTCTAGTCTAGTCTAGTCTAGTCTATATTTCTATTCTATTCTATTTTCTATTCTTTTCTATTCTATTCTATTCTATTCCGTATTTCTATTCTATTCTATATTTCTATTCTATTCTATATTCTGTTCTATTCTATTCTATTTGATTCTACTCTATTCTATTCTTATTCTGTTCCTATTCTATTCTATTCCTGTTCTTCGTTCTATTCTATTCCTATTCTTCATTCTTCTATTCTATTCTATTCTATTCTATTCTATTCTATTCTATTCTATTCTATTCTATTCCATTCCATTCCATTCCATTCCATTCCATTCCATTCCATATTTCTATTCTATTCTATATTTCTATTCTATTCTATTTTCTATTCTATTTTCTATTCTATTTTCTATTCTATTCTATTCTACTCTACTCTATTCTTATTCTGTTCCTATTCTGTTCTATTCCTATTCTTCATTCTTCTGTTCTATCCTATCCTGTTCTGTTCGTATTCTTCAATATTCTATTCTATTCTATTCTATTCTATTCTATTCTATTCTATTCTATTCTATTCTATTCTATTCCATTCTATTCTATTCCTCATTCTTCATTCTATTTTGTTCAATTCCTATTCTTCATTCTGATGTTACCTTGTTTGGGTCATGAAACATCTTCCAGAAAGCATCCAAGTTCAGAAGGCACCAAGGACTTCCCAGTTCAACCCTGAGCATCAAAAATCTTCCCTTCTGTTGGTAAAAGAGCACCTGTCCAGCGGGAAGATTTGGACAACGGGGTTGTAATTCCCGGCTTGTTTTGACAACCAGAAGAAAAGGAAAACTCCTGAGTCCACGTCAATAGGCCTAAAAGTTGCAGCAATAATAATCCAATAAAATAATATTTTCCAAAGCACCAGAGGGCAAAACAAGAAACTGTAGGTGGAAAACTCATCGAGGAGAAAAGCAACCTGGAATTGAGCAGAAACTTCCTATTAGTGGGAACAATTAACCAGTGGAACTGCTTGCCACCAGAAGTTGTGGGTGGATGTTTTTAAGAAGAGATTCGATTACAGATTAACAGAGTTGGAAAGGACCTTGTAGGTCATCTAGTCCACCACCACCCCGCCACCCAAGCCGGAGAT